AAGTGGTGTAGCTACATTACCACGCCTCTTCCCAGCTAGATGCTCTTGAATACGGATACCTAGTGCTCTCCCAGTTTCTCCAATATACGTGCTACATACGATACATTCAAGTCATCCAGGAGAACTTTGGAATTATTCTGAATTTTTGCAAGGAAACCTAGATTGAACGGCAGAAACGGATGCAGGGTCAACCCTGCGTTGCGCAAATTCCAAATTTTTTTGCGACCCCCTCTCCACCTATTGGACATGTGTGTTTTTAGTGATACGGTGTATTTCTGTGTGTGTCAACGTCAAAAATAGATCTAACATTCGTGATCAGGACTCCGATAACCGCCACAGACAAAGTTTCAGCGAAAAAAATTTTGACACTCCCTACTGGGTTGTAATAATGCAATAGCGCCGGGAACCCTTCCGTACTGCTTTAGAGGCCTTTAGCACGGCCTCTAAAGCAGTACGGAAGGGTTCCCTAACAAAAAGAGAACAGAAACATTCCTTAACAGAAATAAATAAGGCAGGAAACCGAATAGTAAAGTTTGAATGTAGGAATTCGCGCCCTTACCGCGGCGCGAGGTAGCGTGGAGCGCGTTTTCCACTCGCTTGGGACGCGGATTTGAGGCAAAATGAAATATCAAAGTTTTATTAGAGGAATTGAGAGGATTTTTTGTAAACCTAGGTACCGTTATGTTCCTAGTGGTCTCTAATTTCAGGTATGTGCCAAGATTTCCGTCAACGTCCAATCGTGTTTCTTGTAAGCTGGAAAATCTAAATCTCCAATAGTTACGGGCGCCTTTTTGAAGCTTATATCTTCGTCCACAGGCGTTTTCATGGAACCGGACACCAAAATTTTAAAAGTACAAATAGTTTTCTTTCAAAAAAGCATTTGAAATGTTGCGGATGTTCAATATTTAAAAAAAATCGTCCCGTCGTTCCGTTTTTGTGCAACAGGAGAGTTTTGGTTTTTTATACACACGCGAGTTTTCGACATTCAAACATTCATAACTTTCTTCATAATTAACTTTTTGCAAATGTCTAAGGCTAATTAGAAACTAGAAGATTAGCGCTTTCAAACAAGCACCTGAAAATTTTCCAGCGATCATTCTTTCAAAAAATAGTCCCGTCGTTCCGTTCGGGGGGTTTGGGGTCCGATTTTTGAGAAGGCGCGAGTTTCCGACATTAAAGCATTTATAACTTTCTTCGTATTCAACTTTTTGCGAATGTCTAAGGCTAATTAGAAACTAGAAGATTAGAGCTTTCGAATAAGGGCTGAAACTTTTTTGAAAAATCACTCGTTCAAAAAATAGTCCCGTCGTTCCGTTTATTTTCATAGACTTTTTTCAAGCCTTTCTTCTCTTGCAAATATTCAAAGAACCCATAACTCGTAATAACTTCGTTAAAGAGAAGCGGTAATAGTTAAATACATTAGCGAAGAGTAGCTGATCATTAAGCGTTGACTTATATTATGGAATTTCTTACTTGCTATCAATTTAATAGAGGTCTTAAAAGATTAGCAATTCAACTAAGTTTCGCTCACATTCTTGTTCCGCTCAGATTTGATTAAAGCATCAAAATTTTCTTGAGGAAGTTTGTCTGCTTACGGCCCTGACAGTGAAGGCGTTTTCGTGGGAAAGACGCCTGCAAAACGCCTGCTCGGGTATACGCCGTGCACCTGTCTGTGGATAGAAGTCGCACTCGCATTTGAAAGTCCTCCATTTTCCTGAAGAAGGTGTTAGTATCGTGATTGAGTTGCATTGTACTGTTATATGGTACTCTTGTTTCACTTCCCCATGAACTGCTCTACACTTTGTTCTCCTTGGGATTTCAGGAATGTTCGATCATCGAAGACAGACCATGTTTTTGCACTACGCTGTAACAAAGTTTTTGGCTATTGTAATCTTGATCTATGCTGTCGAGCAAAAGCGCCGTCCGTGTATTAAGGATAATAATGGCTGATAGTGAGACTTATAATGCTCTGCATGCTCTAATGCTCCCATGGAGCTCTTGTCTGTGTGACTCTCCGACAGCTGCACGGTGCAGAGCTCCTGGAGAACATTAGAGGTGAAAGTGCACTGCCGCACACTGCACTTTTCAAGCCGTCTTGCAGCCCCGTCCCTCTGTATGCGACCCCCCTTTCGTTCGGCAAAATACGACCCCCTCGTTGTTCTTTGCGCAACGTAGGGTTGACCCTGAACGGATGTTCATCTATTACGAAAGCTAATTGCCTTTTGTTTCGTAAGTGCGAGCTATCAGTGCGACGTGCAAATTGACAGATTTCAAAATATGACATCACGAGACGAGTAGAGCTCATTTGCTTCACTGACGTCAACTAACACAGGGCGTGAGCTACTGCTCCGCATCGGTGGAATCTTCGGTGAGTTAAGTCTTCATCACTGAGTGCTCGGTAGTATTCTCAACATTCTCTGACGTCGAAATTAGTATAAGCGGTTAATCAAGCGAGTAATCATGTAGCTAATAAATCGAAGAGTTTCAAACTATTATCTCCAGGCCTCTGAAGAGAAGAAGCGTTCGAAACGTGAAGGCCAGTAAATAAAGGTTTCATCTTGGGCCGCTAGCGAATCGCTGGATCCGAGCGTTGCGACAGCGAATCGACCGATGTACCAGCGAGTCGAACAATGTACCAGCGACTCGACACTGTTTAAAAGTCCCAACATTTGGAAGGAAGTCCCGCCGCTTTCAAACAGTGTCTTCCTTTAGAAGGCAAAATCCGGGATTAAACAGGTGCTATCAGCGCTTTGTAGTGATAGCTTAGCTGCGGAACAATCTGAAAGTGGAAAGGAAAGGCTGAAATAAGGCCTTAACCTTCAATAGGGTCGGATGTGGTACGATGGCGAGAAAGGGCGGTCAAAGAAGACAAAATACGCGAGAGAGCACGTCGTTTGAGAGAGCACGCTGATCTCTCATCAATGCACGCTGATCTCACCACATCTCGCGGTGGGTGGGAAGCGTTGGAACGGGGTCGATGGTTGCAGGCCCGTAAGGATTAGCGCCCTAACCGCGCAATTTTTGCGACGAAGCTGGAGTGATCTAGGTAGTACGGACCTTACAATTTCCCTCGTGGTATCCCTCCTACTAGTCGGGCTAATCCGGGTTGCCTTTAAAGTGGATTTCTTTGAACGTTGGGCTCCGGCACTTTCAAACAGTGTCGGGTCGCTGGTACATCGGTCGATTCGCTTGCGCAAAGTTTGATTTGGTCGTGCAATCGCTCGATTCGCAAGCTACGATATCGGCCTAAAAACCTCGTTTGGCATACAGTACAAAAACAATCACAGCTTCTGAAAATCTCTCTCAAATACCTGATGCTCCCATCAATCGGTTCTTGCCAAAGCAGCCTATTTACAGAAGCCAATAGGAGGAGATGAACGATAGATGTACTTCGAGTGATAAATGTCAAAAAGAGGTGATTCGTTCGAAACTCATATGGAACGTTCTGGAACGCTATAAACGTTTCGCACTGAACATCGGCCGGGCTCAAATTATGCATAGATATATATAGTTCATGTAATGTCATAATTCAGTGTTCCAACTGGAGCTTGAATCAAAAAGTTGATCATCATCGAATGCTTCATCCTTATCACTACCCTCATACCAATTTTCAGACAAACAGTATTTCAGTTTCCTCTGGCCGTGTTTATCGTTTTGTTCGTCTTTCGTGGTGCAGTCTCTACGGAGGCCCTACTTTCGTGCCTAAACGTGCCTCTGTCGTCAATGGGTAAGAGTTTGCTTACTGCCACATTACAATGGGAGATGTTTCAGCGCATTTTTCAATTTCAGTCGATGTCAGTATCGCAACTGCTGCTATACTGCCACTAAACTGCATATGCCTCGTAATGTCTGTGCTACTTTTCCAAACACATCAACGCAAGATCACGCTGTTAGTGAAATTCCAATTTCTCCATTTTTCTTTGTTACTTCTCCAAAGTGTGAAGCAATTCAATTTTTCAGAATTTTTCTCACAATAAGTGATTACTTCTCCTTTCATTTCACTACTGATGAAAAGTGTGGTGACATTGGCGACACGATCAAGCATAAGTACCACTCCAGAGGTTTGGGTGGGGGTATAGCTTAGGTAGAACGAGCCTGCTCCGAGCGCATGGGTGGGAAGTAGTATGTATCCCGCGCTCCTATCAATGTGTTAAAAATCAAAAAAATCTACTTTGTAATCAATAGCTAACACGGTTGTGATCCTCTGTGATCATAAAGGAAAGTTTACTGAAAACTATGAGTAAGTGTTCCACAACGCCTCAGCAGTGCCTAACAAGGAAGGTCTTTCAGGGTAAGCCAAGCTTTTTTCAAAACGGTCTTCTGCATGATATAGAGGCACATGCGGGAACCACAGAACCATGGTTAATTTTTCCTGAACGGCCCTCTGAATACCAGAAAAGGGGGTCCCTAGTCACACCTTTTCACCAGTTTTTCAATCAAAGTCTATTTGTAAGGGTTACTGACGTTCCTAATCATGAATTGGTACTAATTATTCATGCTAACTCCATTTTGCGCGAATTTTGAAACGTCAACTCGAAATGCAAAAATTTGTCACCACGAGGAATCGAACTAGGGACCCCTTTTCTGGTATTCAGAGGGCCGTTCAGGAAAAATGAACCATGCTTCTGTGGTCCCCATATGTGCCCCATGTCATGCAAGAAACCATTTTGAAAAAGCTTGGCACACCCTGAACGACCTCCCTTGTAAGTGCCCCTGTATACCGCTTAATTCCCACTTAGCTTCATGAGAAAATTCCTTCCCCATCCTTCCTCCAGGTTGTCAAACTGTTCAGGGTTGATTCTCAGTATACTTAATCTGCTGGTCAGACGTCGTCACATGGTTCCGTTTCCGGTTTTCGACCTCATTAGGGTTCTATTTTCAAAAACGCATGCCCTCTTTCTACTTCGAGCCAAATTTGATCCCTAATATGGTTGGCGCAGTACTTTTGAGCACTTGGACTGATTCTAACTTAACCCATCGAATATTCTTACGAAAATGACATGTTTAGGTCCCGATTTGATGTCACCAGGCACTTCAAAGCTACTATGAATCGAGATGCGCTGTGGTTTATGCGGACAACGACCATCACTCAAGCTGTCATTATCGTTCTTTATCCGATTCTGGTGCTCACTGTCAGATTCACTGCTCACCAAACACCAAGAATCCTAAACAAGACTCTTGCCACCCTTGTCTACGTAAGTACAAATTGCTCAAAGGGCCTTTGGCATAAAAAAGTAGGGTATGTTGCAGATCTTCAACTGGTATTGCGTTCTCGTTCCTTTGGTGATGATTTACGCGGCGAAGCAGACAAGGACCAAGCGACGACGGAAGATTGACTCCGTCATGGAGAAGCAAGTTTTTGGCGAAGAAGGATCTGAGTACTACTTCGCTTTACTGAAGGATCAGTGGCAACAGAAAGCTGATACGAAATCATAACTTTCTGCTCTTCTACCACTCATTATCACAGAGAGCTTGCCCACGTCGATTAAGTTGTTTATTTTCTTGAGCGTTGAATGGACGACAAACTTGGAACTATTGGTTCAGGTTTCTGAATAGCCCAGATGAAGCGCGCGCATGCGGTCTGAGCTGTTCCATGTGCAGTTCTTGCCGGTGTGCTGTAACGGGTTTCTCATAGCACCTCAGACCTCCTT